CTTGGGGGCGCGGGGCAGAATTTTTGGGGGGGGGGGGGGGGGGGGCGTCGGGGTGTGCCTGAGTCTACTCATAGCCATGCATAGGCCGCAGATACTTACCACGGGGGGGGGAGGAGGAGAGGCGTAGGGGGGAAGCTAGAGGGCTGTAATGCCGTTTCAACCCACCCCGTTGGGAAGAGGGTCCTATCCGTAGGATATCGTCTGCCCCGGGAGAAACATCAACGTATAGGTGGGAACATCAAATATGACGCGGAGCAACGATGCGAAGAAACAAGCGCCACGGCACTGTTTCTGACACCTTCCACTGATGAAAACATATACGTCTATATATACGCCTATAAGCGTGTGCCAGAAGTTGGAAATTAAACATTGACGCATAGAATAAAAACACAAAACACCATGGTCTGCGGCTCTGGGCGGGTGCGTACGGTGGGTTCCCCTCCTCGCTGCACACCTGCAGTTTCGACCAACAACACTCAACCACCTGGAGGTTTGTACAAAGATCATCGGCAACCGTGCAGACTAGCAGGCCCTGCGTGCGTACCTTCTTGATCACCTGCTGGACCAAATCTCTTGTTTGATCCACCACGTCCGGGGCCACCTCGTTGCCAAGCAGCTCCGTGAGATCCTTGCTGCCCTCCATGATGTCCATGAGAGCCTCGATCGTGGGAGGTACCATGCTTAGCAACTCGCCGTTCTCTAAAGATATAAACCACAACAACACAGCACAAGGGCGGGTCGGACTTACGTTCATATTTGAATACGTGTTGGACTTCGATCGAGCTCGAGAAGCAGTTGACCCATGAAAACACGTTGGGCGAGGAAAGAAACGGTTTCGAGGAAACTGGACGCAACGCATCCAGCCTCCAAATCCAGCGCGCGATTGAAGAAGCCGAGATCCCAAGGCCAAAACCAAGCATGCCGTGTACACGTGAAGCCGAGATCCCAAGGCCAAAACCAAGCATGCCGTGTACACGTGATAAGTATTAGTTAGTGGAATGGCAGAGAGGAACGGCGAAAGAAAAACGACAAGGTGGAAACGACGACCATGCATGCCTGTAACAAAATCACAGCCGAATAGAGCGTTCGGCACGCACCACACAGCATCTCTTCGTGGTGCAACAATAAGAGTCGCCGTTTGTCCCTGGGCGAGGCAGCGATAGCATCAGGTCTCAATCACGTTCCTTGCATCTCACCGTCATTGCAGAACCCCCGCCTCCACCCCCCCCCCCCAAAAAAAAAAAAACACTTGAGGCTTCCTTCTCCTTCCCTCTGGTTGCCAACCAACGTCTTCAGCGCACTCACCCGCCGTCGGCAAGCCGCTGTTGACCGCCCGGCCTCCTGCCCCGCCACCGCCGCCGCCATCGCCTCCCCCGGTGCCCGAAATACTGCTGGCAAAAATTGCGGCCGCGAGGTCGGCCTCCTCGTCGTAACCCTCGTCTCCCGGCCGCAGGACGCTGCCTCCGGCCGAACGAAAGCGCCCGCCTCCTCCTCCTCCGCCGCCGCCGCCGCCGCCACCGAACCCCCGCCCCATCGCCCCGGCCCCGATAGCGCCGTTCCTGCCGCCGCTGCCGCTGCCGCCTCTGAACAGCACACCGTCTCGTCTGAGATTTTCGTACAGTTGAGTAAACCGGCTGCCGGACCCCACCTGCATGGACGTAGGGGGGGGGGGGGGGGGGGGCCCCCCACCAAAGGGGGAAGGAAGGGGGGGGCCAAATTTTTCAAAAAACTTGAAAAAAAAGGTTTCGGGACCCCCCCCCCCTTTTTTTTAACCTTTAAACCCGAAGGGGGGCCCCCCCCCCCCCGGGGAGGGGGGAAAAAGGAAAGGTCCCCCAACTTCCCCCTAAAAATTTTTTCCCAAGAATTGTCCCCCCCGGGACCTCAAACAAAAAGGGGGGGCCCAACCCCTACCCTAACCCCGAAGGCCTTAAAAACCCAAAACAAACCCCCCGAAAAATTTTTCCCCAAAAATTTTAAGGTTTTATTTCCCCACATTTTTTTTTTTCA